CGGTTTTAAATGTTATACGGTTTTAAATGTCAAATTTTAAATGTCAAAAATTTGTGATTATTCGAACTTTGATCTTCATTTACTTTTTGATCTGGTCAATTAAAATGTTAAAATGTGTTGAGAAACATATGTTCCGAAAAGTCTGATTTCTACAACATGATAAGAGTTACATTTGATTCCATGGGAGAGGATTTCATCTATGGGGTTGAGCGCAAATAAATAGAAAAATATACTTGTTTGATGCATAATTGAAAATTTTAAGGTGACAGATTAAAATCCTCAATTTAGTCCAGTTAATTGGAAACTAATGCGAGATTTTTAGCTTTCATGTGAGGGAGTAATGGGAGCTCTAAAGTGGTAGTAGTATTCTCTCAGTCTAACCGCGGAATTAGGGATCAAACTCTAGATTAGTCAATATTCTTTATACACTTTGAAGAAGGTAAAGAATAGAATTGCTCTTATTTGGCACAAAATAATTTTTATATATTTTCAAATAATTTTAATTTTTTCACAATTCATATACTCATTGTAAAGGGGAAGGATATTTTCTTAAATTTGAACTCTTCGTCACAAAAACTTTGTTTAGTTTTTATAAGTTTACTTTTAAAAGTTTATCAATTAGTTTAATTAGATTAGTTATTTTAACTGCATTTTATTTAGTATTCACTTAATTACTTTAGATTCAAATTTTGTACTTCAATTTTGTAGTTCAAATTGTTTTACATTTTTACATTATAATTATTTGTTTTACATTATAATTATAAGAATTTATCTATAATCATTTTCAACTTCCCTGTGGGATCGATATCTATGACTTCATTAGAGCTTATTATTACTTGAATGATATGTATACTTGCGTTATTATTAGGGGATTTGACAGTTTAAAAAATTTTTAAACGATAATCATTTTCACTAAAATTATTTTTTTGGGGGATTACATTGCATGTTTACTATTATATCCATCGTGTGTATTTTGTAATATTGAAAAATATTTACAAAAGTAACACACAAATCCGCCGCATCAGCGGGTGGGAAGGAAGTTACGGAAGGGAGGAACAACTGGCGGTCAGCAAGCAGAGGATTTAGGGGATGGGCACAGTGAGCAGGGGTATCTAGGGTTTCCAGCGGCCTAGCGGGAAGAGGAGTTAGAGGTGGGCAGTTGGGAACATGTAAGCGAAACGATGGAGGGAATAAGAGAAGATAGGTATCCCTGCGGGATTGAGTTGCAGTCGGAGAACCCTCAAACCTTAAGAGAAGATCACCACCCCAGAAGAGTTACAATCGGAGCACCTCCCCACCTTTGATACAGTCCTATAAGGGAAAACAACCGCCAACGGCAAGCTAAACAGAAATCTGAAATCATAAGACAAAAAACTAAACCCTATGAGAGCAACACACATATAAATAAAAGATTGATAGGTGGGAAACGAAAACAGGAAGGGGGAAGAATTCCCACCCAATGAAAAGGAAGGGGCCAGTCAAACCCCCTCCTAGATCGAGCTTTCTCCTGTTAAACTGGTTGAGGTCGATTTAGCCCCAAGCCCCCGTGTAACTCGCTAAACATTTATTTAATAAACTTCTTAAATATTTTTATTAACAAATCCTTGTGATATTTTAAAATTATAATTATAATTTTCTATTCACGTATTATTTTAATTTGATCACTTGATTCCCAAATAATAAAATATATGAAAAATTAAATTGTTAAATTAAATAAAAACTTGATTAATAATTTAATTTTAAAGATTAACCTTAATAAAAAATTTTCCTGACCCATCTGCTCTTCTCCCTTATGCATGAAAATGAATATGAAATCCTACCTCATCTCATTCGCTTGCAATTTCCCCAGGTTCAGAAGCATCGATGCTTGATCGTCAGTTATGTGTCGCCCAGCCTTGCCGCTCTAGCGTTCTCTTATGCACCGAAAGTGTGTCACCTACTTGATCGCTCGTGTTTTGCTTTGCTTCTTCCTCCGACTAGCTTTCCTAACACTCAATATGCACGCACTAGTTGCTCATCATTTCAGGTATCCAAATACAAGTTGAAATCGCCCTCGCCTGTTCGACGGCGTCACCTCCTATATTGCTTATCGCCACTGCCTTCATAAGATTCGATCACTCATGGCTTGAATCTTCGTTACTCTAATCTTGTTCTCAGACATTGCTTTAGCACATGTTTACGAGAACTCGCATCAGATCGGCTCAATGCTCACTCTCATCATCAGAATTGCAAATGCAAGGAAACCCTTGACTGCAAATGTCATGTTTCCTTCTCTCCCTCATTCACTGGCTCTATTGTCTGATCCTTCATTGTCCCTATCTCTATTTCACTCGTGCGAAATAAACCGTCCCCTAATCGATTACAAATTTCTGAAACGTTACAATAACGATGGGTTGACCATTCAAAGTTGACCTAAAATCCAATTGCACCAAGGATAACCCCGAAAACCAATTCTATTAGTAATTGTTAGCCCACATTTGTCAGTCCATAGTAAAAAGCTCTTTCCCAAATCCATTTGACATCTCTTTGTAAGACAAAACCTTGATTAAGACTTATATCAATCCTTGCAACTTTACTTTTCGCCCAAGACTTTCAATCAATCTAACTTAATGGCCGAGCCCACTAAAAAATCCTTCAATTTTAGTTGGGCTCAAGTTGCATATTTCCTGCGAGTGGTGGTTGCCTTTAGAGCAATAAAAGGCAATACCAATCAACAAAATAATTGATGGTTTATCCTCTTTGTTCCTACCATTCAACTCAACAACAATGTCAAATAAGAAGTTAGATTAGAAGGGTGAAAGCATTTAAGACGGAACTTCACTAACTTAAGCCCTTCCACCATCCTACTTTATAAAAGCTGCTATATTCCCGGATACTCTTTCACATGCAACCCCATCATTTTTGTTGCCCTTCTAATGGTAATTTTCTTTTCTTGCCCCATAACATTAGAAATTGAAAAGCAAATTGAAGATGGTTGTCTATTTTATAACAAAGGAATAATAATTTGTATTATTTTCAAATTTAGATGCTAGCAGTACTCAGAAAAAAAGGAGAGAGATGAAAATATGTATATAATCACTGCAAGTATTTTCATTTATAGTGCACGTTGAAGATTATATAAACATGTGATTAATCTGGAATACAACAAAGAAAAGAAAACTTACTCTTTTAAGGAAAACAAGGGTCAAGCAAACCTTAGGATTTCTTAGAGTCTAAATATGCTAACTAGCTATGTTGAGGCAATTCCTCGCGGTTCATTAAACATGATACCAGGTACAAAGGTATAGAGAACTGTTAAAGATAAATTTATGGTATGATGACGTTTATATCTTATTAAATATATATGAATGAGAAATGTTACAACTTCTTGTTCCAATCTTGAATATGCCAAGAAATAGAAGTAAGGCCTTCAATCAATATCTTCTAACTTGTTCATTTTTTTCCTGTTGGATAGTATAGGCTAAGAGTTGCAAGAACTTGGAGCATTTTTTAGATCAATATAAAACCACATTTGAACTATAGAGTTGTGAGAAATTAAAAACCCAAATTGCAGTATAGGTCTCTAACCGACCATTCGGAGTTACAATGGAAGGATAGAACCTTGAACCAAAAAGCAATCGAACAGTAGGCTCCCTCAAAAATTGGAAAAAATATAACATCGGTACTACGCACGTAGAGTAACGTGCGTAGCCAATAAAATCACGCCACGACACTCCACGAGACGACAGGAAAAAAACAGCGCGTTAACACGGGGAATATTCCCCTCATGTTATTCATGTATTATTGCGTGTTATTCATGTGTTATTGTGTCCTGGAAATATTTTTTGTGTTATAATAACACAATAATACATCAATAACACATGAATAACACAGGGGAAAAATATTTCCTCGTGCTATCGCATCATTTTTTTTCTGTCGGGAACTTTCTTCTCTGTCGTGAATATTTCTCGTATTATTCAAGTGTTATTGTATGTTATTCATGTGTTATTGTGTCCTGAGAATATTCTTTGTGCTATAATAACACATCAGTAACACATGAATAACACACAATAACACATGAATAACACGGGGGGAATATTCCCCGTGTTACCACGCCGTTTTTTTTTTCCTGGGGTGTCGTGGCGTGATCCCGGGTGGAAAAATTCCCCGTGTTACCACGCCGTTTTTTTTTTCCTGGGGTGTCGTGGCGTGATTTCATTGGCTACGCACGTTACTTTACGTGCATAATACTGATGTAATATTTTTTTCCAAAAAGTGCTTCTGCAATTTCTTTTAAGATTGAAGAACATGAATTGAACTTCAATAGCTATAATCATGGTTTAAAATATAGTTGTAACTTTGAAGCACTATGTGATAAAAGAAGATGTAGACATTTAAAAGGCAAATTTTAAAACTACAATTAGACAAACTCTAGCATACAAACCTAAGATTTAGGTGCTAAAGAAGTCATTTATAATAAAATTAAGTGAGAACATTAAAATGGATGTGTGGCAAAACTTAAAAATATAAAAAACAAAAATAATTACATAAGATGAATGTTGATTGCATCATCGCCTATTAAAAACTCATTTTTAAGACTAATTTTTTGCCGGACCCCAGTGCGTTGCACTGCCATTTTAACGGGGGATTATTGCGTGCGGACACCGCATGCATCTCTGCATGCGGTGTTCGATCCTGGCCGTAGATCACGGTGATCTACGGTTAGGATTATTTCCGTTTTTAAAAATAAAAAATAAAAAATTTTAGGTGGGGCCCACCGAAATACATCAGGACCGTAAATCATGTGATTTACGGTCCGGATCGGCGTCCGCACGCAA